TTCGAAACCAGCCTGAGCAAGAGCGAGACCCCGTCTCTACTATAAATAGAAAGAAATTAATTGGCCAACTAATATATATACAAAAAATTAGCCGGGCATGGTGGCGAATGCCTGTAGTCCCAGCTACTTGGGAGGCTGAGGCAGGAGGATTGCTTGAGCCAGGAGTTGGAGGTTGCTGTGAGCGAGGCTGACGCCACGGCACTCACTCTAGCCTGGGCAACAAAGCGAGACTCTGTCTCAAAAAAAAAAAAAGGACTATGGGCATGATTATCAGTTTTCCACAAATAACCTTTTTTTTTTTTTTATTTCTACAGAGTTGTAAAATAGCCTATTTGATCAAAGACAATCAAAGATGCATTACCCCACCTGGGTGCATGGTGCAAGCCTGTAGTGACAGCTACTTGGGAGGCTGAGGCAGGTGGCTCTCTTGAGCCCAGGAGTTTGAGGCTGTAGTACAGTACAATCACATCTGTGAATAGCCACTGCACTCCAGCCTGGGTAACATAGTGAAACCCCATCTCTGGAAAAGAAAAGAAAAACAAAAAGCTCCATCCCCCCTACAGATTCATATCATGCCCTGCAAGTCCACTGGGCATGCCTGAAGTCCACTGCAAAGATAGCCAGAAACCTGTTTTGCTCACTTCCAAAACTTTGTCACATTTTCCTGCCACTGCTACGTTAATATTCATCTATGTTCTTGGTGTTCTAAAATATTTATGAATCTCTTTTTCAATATTTGTCACTGATTCCACGGTTCTGAATAAATTTTTTATTCACTCATGCTGTTGACAAGATGGCAAAGTGACAAAATGATCTAAATGTGCTTTGCAAGTAAGGTAACTCATAGCTTTGCCTTATGAAATCTCAAAGTGTCTTTGCATAAGATGTTTTCATTGCTCCCCTAATCTCTTCCTCAATCAGACTGAAAATAACTTGGCAAAACCTAATTAGAGTGCATCATTTTGACATTTGTTCCCTAAACACAACGGTATAGCACTCACACTCTGCGTGGTATGTTAGTAAGAAAAACAAAACTTACTGAGGCACAGAGGGGTTTAGCTACTTGACTAAGGCCAGTAGGTGGCAGAGGTGGGACCTGAACTCAGGCTAGCTTCAGCATTTATGTGCTTGTTGTTTAGAAATTAACTTGTTTCTTTCTTTCTTTTTTATTTGAGACAGAGTCTCACTCTCCTCCCGAGTAGCTGGGACTACAGGCATGCGCCACCATGCCCGGCTAATTTTTTCTACATATTTTTAGTTGGCCAATTAATTTCTTTCTATTTTTAGTAGAGACAGGGTCTCACTCTTGCTCAGGCTGGTTTCGAACGCCTGACCTCGGGCGATCCTCCTGCCTCAGCCTCCCAGAGTGCTAGGATGACAGGCGTGAGCCACCGCGCCCAGCCAGAAGTTAACTTGTTTCTGCTACTATTTATTTGCAGGACATGTTGGACCAGGCAGAATTTGAAGTATAAAAATTGAGGTTTTAATCCCAAATTTCTTCTGTAAACTTTTACATCTGAGCCTCAGATTTGTTTTTTCTTGTAAAACAGGAATAATAATGTTTGTCATGCCTACCCTAGATCAAATGAAATAATGAATGTGAAAGTGCTCTGGAAAGTTTTATGTGAGGAATTACTGCTGAAGCTTTGAATGGGTGTGCCGGTTAGGATATAGCTTCAGCTGTGTACGATGAAAATGTTGCTTAGAGTAAATTAGGTCACAGTTAGAAGGCAGAGGAGCTGTCACTTGATCCCAGGTTGTGGGTAGATAAATCCCATACTCCTAACTATACTACCACACTGTCTCTTCTGACACAGTTGGACAGCGCATGCATCCTTGTTTTCCTGTGCAGTTTCGTTAAAAATAAGAATGTAAACATAAATTGTCCTCCAATCTTTTCCTTTTCACAAAACATTTCTCTGGGAGGCCTAAATTGGAAATTGCTGCCTCCAACTTACAAACAGAGCTGACACAGGGCAACAGAGAAAGGCAGGCCAAGCCACAAAAGGCGTAACACAGGTATCCAAGCAACCGGAAACCCTTGGCTGAGAAAGATTTCTTCTTCCCCTGGCAAGCTGGGGACATTCCAGCCAGGCGCCTTGGAGCCTCTGTTGTGGAAAGCAGCTCCGATCCCCCACACAGGAGGGACATGATTATCGGCCAGGGAACATTCTGAGGGCGCTCAGGGAAGAGTGATAACAAGTCTCTCCACCTTATTCTCTTACTACATGAAGGAACATCTCTCCATCTTATTCTCTCATTACTTTGGGCGAAAGAGAAGGTAAAAAGAAAAAATCTAAAACAAAAAATCACATAAATAATAAATGTTAACACACTCTCTCTCACCTCTCTAGCAAATCCCTCTCTACGAGTTAGAAATAATTCCAAAACGACTCAAGTGGAAAATCCTAAAACCAACTGAGAAGTGTTGGCTGGGTACTGTCCCCTCTGTGATTAGGCTCATACGCAATGACCTTCAGCAGGGTATGTTCTAGCAAAAGGAACAGGGCAGGCCTCAGAAGTCACACACCAGATTTTGTGTCACCCAACAAAAATACAGTAACTTTAGAGAACATAAGTTCCCTGAATGAAGAAAAAGGTAAAAAAATAAATAAGAAAAAGAAGAAAAAAAAAGACATTGAAAAAGGCTGAGAACACAGAGTTCAGTAAACCAGTTGTGGTTGAGTATATTGTAATATATCTTAAATAAAACACAGAAGTCATTTCTCGAGCCCCTTTTAATGCATAGGAAAATCAATCTCTTTCTCAAATAAAGGGAAAAATGAAGAAAAATGGGCACACACATATATATATATGTCTAATATAGACTTTTTAAAATTAAGAAACCATAAAGACTACGTTCATGTGCTGTACAATGATGTTTTGGTCAACAACGGACCACATATACAATGGTGGCCCATAAGATTGTCATGCCATATTTCTACTGTATTTTTTTCTGTGTTTAGATTTTTTTAGAGACACAAATACTCGCCACCGTGTAACAATCGCCTACAGTATTCAGTGCAGTGACACGCTGTACAGGTTTGTAGCCCAGCAGCAACAGGCTATACCCCACAGCCTAGGTGTGCGGTAGGCGACACTATCTAGGTTTGTAAGTACTCTCTCTATGCTTGCCAAAAGGTGAGATTGTCTAACACCACATTTCTCAGTATATATCCCCATCAGTAAGTGACACGCGACTGTATGCTTCCCTTGGGACGCTATTCCTCTGACACCCATCCATGTCTTCATTCACTTCTTCAACAAACACTGTCGACCACACCAGTGTGGGGGTTGGCACTGTGGCCAACAGCTAGACCTGCCCTTTCTGTCACCCTCCCTATAAGGAACAAACGATGATGACTTCTCTACGTCTTTTTTTTCTTTGCAAATGAGGCGACCCAAACTGCACCCACAGTTGTAAAGATTTCTCTGGTGAGACAAAAACGACTGTCCTTGTGTTCTGCTTCTCCACGCTTCCCACTTTGACTTTTGTGTTTGCTCGTCTGTCGCTAAATCTTCCAAAGACAGGAGTTGCCTATTTTTCACTGTGTCCCCAGTGACCCTGAGTCGTTCACGCTGTCGATCTGTTTCTGTTAAGAATGCTCTCCTGAACGCGGTCCTGTTTGTCTGGGTGAAGGCTGGCCTCTTCTTTCTTGTTGTCATTTGTCACCTTGTCGGTAGTGATCAGGTGGCAGGCACTCGCCCTGAAAACTAATCCCCTTCTACCAGGATTTGGAGCGGCATTACGGCGGACCCTGCGCCCTTCCCGTCGAGCCTTGGCAGCCCGAGGTCCACGTCCACGGGTGCTCGGAGGCCACCGGGCCGGCGGTCGCACCCCACGACATCCCGGCCCCTCTCGGTCCCCAGGTGGTGGATTCCGTGGCCAACCCCCTCGGCCGGGCCGCGCCCGACGCCCTGCAGGGCGGGGAAGGGCGTCTCCTGCCGCCCGGGCGGTGACGGCACAGGCCAGGAATGCCGCGCGGCCGCCGCGTCCGTCCCGCCCGACGGGTTTCTGCTCCCGGCCGCCTCCGGCCCCGCGACACACCGCGCGGCCGTCGAGCCTGTTCGCAGGGGTGGCTCCCGAGGGCAGTCTGTCGGCGTAGACCAGCTCCGCGCCCCGCCGCGTCCGCACGTGCCCACGTCTCACCTGCCGGCTCCGCGCCGCCCCCACCTTTCGCCCGGGGCCCCCACCTGTGTGCGCGCGCGCAGGGGCGCGGCGCAGTCGCGGGCCCGGTGACGTCACCGCCCCGCGAGGGGGCGGGGCTTGGGGAGCCGCAGGGCAGCGCGGAGGGGCGGGGCTTGGGAGCCGCAGGGCAGCGCGGAGGGGCGGGGCTTGGGAGCCGCAGTGCAAAGAGGAGGGGCGGGGCTTGGGAGCCGCAGGGCGGCGAGGAGGGCGGGGCGGAGCGCAGAGGGGCGGGGCTTGGGAGCCGCAGGGCAGCGCGGAAGGCGGGGCGGAGGGCAGAGGGGCGGGGCTTGGGAGCCGCAGTGTAGCGCGGAGGGGCGGGGCTTGGGAGCCGCAGGGCTGCCCGGAGGGGCGGGGCAGAGCGCGGGGGGGCGGGGCTTGGGAGCCGCAGGGCAGCGCGGAGGGGCGGGGCGGAGCGCGGAGGGCGGGGCCTGCGGCGCGTGACCGGCTGCGGGAGGCAGGAGCCCGAGCGCGGAGGAGGTGGCGGCGCCTGGACCTGCGGACGCCGGGCCGGGCCGCGGGAGGCGGGGCGGGGAGTGGCCGGCGCGGGCAGCCGGCGCCCCTGGCGGCTAGCGCGGCCGCGTCCTCCGGCTCCGCTCGCTCGCTCGCTCCGCGCCGGCGCGCCTCCACCTGGGCCGGCGTGCAGACGCGCACCTGGCAACCGGCGCCGCGTCCCGCCCCCGCTCGCGCCGCGCGCCCGCCGGGACCCCGCCGCGCCGGCCTCGAGCGCCCGCTCGTTGCTGCCGTTTCGGGGCCCGCGGCGCGCTTCCATGGTGCGGGCGCGCTAGTGCCGCGGCGCCGCCGACGCCAGGGGCGGCTGCGGGGCGGCTGCCGGGCCGCCGGCAGACCCGGCCCGCGGCGCGCGGCGCGGGCGGGCGGAGTGGAGGCCGCCACGGCGGCGCGGGAGCGCGAGATGCTGGAGCTGCGGCACCGGGGGGCCGGGCCCGGCCCCGGCGCTGCGGGGGCGCCGCCACCCCGCGAAGGAGAGGCGGCCGGCGGCGACCACGAGACCGAGAGCACCAGCGACAAGGTGAGTGCGGCCGCGGCGGGCGCCCGGCCGGTGCGGGCTGCGCCGGGACGCCGGAGGAGCGCGAGGGGGGCCCGCGGGGCGTCAGGTGAGGGTGCGGGCTGTCACCTGGGGAGGCGCTTCCTCCTTGCGGGGCGAGCGGGGGCGAGGGCGGCGACCCCTGGCGACGGCGACGCGTTTCCCCGGGTGACCGCGGCCGCTGCCCTGGGCACCTGGGCGCTCACCTGGGCTGCAGGTTACCTGCACACCCCCCCCCCCGCGTCGGTCCCTCCTCGTCCGGGACCTGGGGACCCACGGTGCAATCCCGACGGGGCCTGCCACCCCGCGCCTCGTCTCGGCGGAAGGGACAAAGTTAGCGAGGACCGAACTGAAGACAGGCCCCCGCGGGGCTCACCTGTTACCGGATCCCGGAGGCTCGGCTTCTCTCGCTCACCCCAGCACTACTCTCATTTCCCCTGTCCTTTTTTCAGTGCAGTAGATTTGGGAGGTTGGAGGGTGTCACGCACGTGACGCGGTTGTCACCTTCCAGCTGCCTTTGAGTACGAGGCAGACAGTCGGTGCAGTCCTTCTGCCTACCGGTAGATTTCGTTTAACCCGGCACGGTAATTCATGAGGGTACTTCACTCCCTCTCTGTCGTGTAGGTTAGCCTCGTTCCACGTTTGAGAAAAATCTAGAAAAAGAGAGTTCAGGCGTATTCGGCAGTGCACGAACTTGCAAGCAAGAGCTTCAGAAGGAGTTTAGTTTTATGACCTTATGGACTGCATGGTTTAGGAAATTGGGCCAGATTGTCTTACAAATTTTTTTTTTTTTATAAAATTCTATTTTATGGAGGTTAAAAACATGAGTTAAGAAAAAAAAAATAAAAAAAATTAAGAAGAAAAAAAAATTCTATTTTATTTGAGAAGCCCAAACACACTTCACCTGTTTCTAGAAGCATTCTTTTCTTTTTTTTTTTTTTTGGAAGCAGGTGTTGCAGTTTGACTTAACACAAGTGAATTGCCCAAGGTCAAGCCAGTGTCTTTTGAAACTAGAACCTGAGTTTCCTGATTCCCTTTCTTCTGGTTTATATATCCTTGCGAGAGACTCACGGGGCAGTTTTTTTGATTTGCAGAGGGTTCCGCCTGAAAGTTAAAGATGAACTTTAACCCAAGTTACGAAGCCCTAATAGGAACATATCACCTGGTAGCATGAAATAGTAAACCTAACAGTGATTTCAGGACTGGAACTTTAGAATCAATGGGATAACACTTTTTTTTCTCCCTTACCCTTTTTAGCAGGTGGAATGCCATGAGTCTGTGATAGAACACATGTGTCAAGGAACTGCACAAAAGTATAACAATTTCCAGCTGCTGAAGGTTGAGGTTACAAAGCTAGAAACAGTGGGCTGAGAATGGTTTTTGTGAAAACTGCCTTAGAAACTAGACCCAAAATAGAATTAATTAGGGATTTGTTTTGTTTTGTTTTGAGCACTGGTCTAGTTTAGAATCAAGGAAATACCAGCTTCTCCCTGTTGACTTCCTTAACTTGACAAAGCTAACAAGCTTTTATTAAGAGGAAACATGTTTAGGAAGCCCTGTATAAAATAACCTTTGTGTTTTGTTGTTGTTGTTTTTTTAAACACTGTGATGTATTTAAAATGGAAACTACTTCTATGGTGTGATTTGACTCAGAACTGTTGTCTCTAGCCCTCTGGGACTGGCTTACCTCGCTGCATATTTATTTATTAATGCTTGGTTTTCTTTAATACATGCCCAGCTGTGTCTTACTTTCTGAAAAGTAGATGTTGGTGTATGTAACCAACTGTTTTGTTGAGATTTCTTAGAGAAGGATGAACATATTCAGACATTATCTCAAGTACTGCTGTACTTTTAGAGTTTATCATAAGGACCTCTTGACTTGGCAGGCTTGGAGATGTTGAACTCTATCCTCGGTCTCTCCTTTCTTATTGGGGTGTGTATTTGAATGCACCTGTATTTCCAGGTCAAGGGCTATTTTAAAATCAGTTTGCACTTTGGAGGGTGGTTAATAATTGGGCCTGTTCCAACTCTTGAAGTGCCTTTCTCTGTTGGAGTTGCAGTAAAGGCCGAACTCTTGGGGAGTTAATGAAAGAGCGGAGGAGGTGTATTGTATTTTGCAGTTACTGTACACTCCCATGCATTGCCATTCGGTCGTCTTTTTATAATGGTTTTTGTTAACGTGACATTCCCAGTGTTCTGGACTGGAGGCTTCTGCTGAGAGAAGGCTCTGTGCTTCTGGAGAATTAGCAAGTGAAAAAAAAAATGCTGCTTACCTGCAGGGCAGTGTTCCCAGTGGTTAAATGCCACAGGAATGGTGCTTAAACGATAACAAGGACCACCCAGGAGGATCTATACGAGTTAGATTTATTAGCAGTACGTACAGGCTCATTTTTAGCATAGAGAGGGCATAATTGGACTCTACCTGGACATTACGGGAAAAAGCTATAAATTGTAGGCCAGGGTTGAAGTGGGAATTAAAAGATTCCTGGGGATTCACCAGGTGGACAGGGAGGGGGAAGGGCATTCTAGGCAGAGGACGTTCAGGGCTTTTTCTTGAGTCAGCACTCTAGGGCACAGGGCTGGAGGTGCAGCCGAGCAGATAAAGAGGATCCCAAGAGCTAAAGGAGGAGGGATTGCTAGGGGATATTTTCAGTAGTGCTTAGGCACAGGGGCTGAGACTTACAGCACTGAGTTTATTAAAAGCAAAAGATCTGGGAGGCCGAGGTGGGCGGATTGCTCAAGGTCAGGAGTTCAAAACCAGCCTGAGCAAGAGCAAGACCCCCGTCTCTACTATAAATAGAAAGAAATTAATTGGCCAACTGATATATATAGAAAAAATTAGCCGGGCGTGGTGGCGCATGCCTGTAGTCCCAGCTACTCGGGAGGCTGAGGCAGAAGGATCGCTCGAGCCCAGGAGTTTGAGGTTGCTGTGAGCTAGGCTGACGCCACGGCACTCACTCTAGCCTGGGCAACAAAGCGAGACTCTGTCTCAAAAAAAAAAAAAATAAATAAATAAAAAGCAAAAGATCCTAGTAGAAGCCAAGTGTTGGGTGGAGGAAATTGAGGGGTGAAACATTGGTAGTTATTGTCAGAAAGTGGCAGTGAAGGAGGTGGGGGGGACCACAGGATGGCAGCTAGAATGGACAGGAGGATGAAAGGAAGATTTTTCTTTCCGAGGGAGGGGAGATGTGTACTTGTATGAAAGCCAGTGAGTGAAGATGCTGGCAAGGATGGGCAGGCCCTAGAAAAAGGAAATCAGACGTGGGGTAGGGAATTAGATTATTGGGGTGTGCAAGGAAGGAAAAGAGGGGTGTATGCCCCTTCCTTAAGAGGAGAAGGAATGGAAGGTGGCTGTAGAAACATTTCGAAAAGCAGAAGAGGGAAGAGCAAAGTGTGCTTGGTGCCTTTGATTTTCTCAGCCAAGTGGGAACCTGAGTTCCCAGTGAGCTTCAAGGAATCTTAGAAGCGACTTAATTCAACCCAATTCTTGTATATATCGTTAAGAATAATAAACTTGCTCTGAATTAGAATTGTTTTGTGCAGAATGAGCCTAGAGCAGGTGGGCAGTCACAGGCTGGGACTGTTCAGGAACCTCATACCAAGGATGACTGGCACCTGTTTGGAGTGTCATTTGTAGGGCATATAATATGAAATGAACGAGAGGCAACTATGGTAGAACTGTGTAGGATTATCCAACTCAGTGGAGACTCAGCTGAACACAAATTTGTTGAGTCCCAAATTAGCATAGTCCTCAAACTCCTTAAACTCAGGAGCAGTAACAGTCGTAATAATCAAAACTTGTAGAATGACTTAGGGTTCACGTGGAGTACTTTCACACCTTCATTTACTTTTCCCAAGGACTATCTGCATTAAATGAGGAATATCCTCATTTAATAGCTGAGAAGAAAGGCAATGGGGGTGACCTAGGCCTGGTGAAGGCCAGAGGTGGAGGATGTAATAAGGAATCAGAGAGTGAGCTAGGCCAGGACCGAAGAGGCTAACAGCGGTGTAGGGTCTGCAGGGGATGGGGTGGCGAAGCTCTGATGGATCGAGTGGGCATGGGGGGATTGAAAGGGAGAGCCAGGGCCTGAATCATGCAAAGGTCAAGCGAAAACTTCCCCGTCACCCACTGAAGGTTGGCTGAAAAATCGGCTGACACAAGGAAGCTTAGTGTAGGGTGAACGGCATACAGATCTATCAACGTGCATGGGCGGGGTGGGGGAGGTGGTACCCCCACCTCCCAAGGGAGTCTACAGAAGCTGGGTAATTTGTAAAGAAGAGAGGTTTATTTGTCTCACAGTTCTGCAGGGAGCTTCCACTCATGGGGAAAGCAAAGGAGGGGAGCCTGCGTGGGCAGGGACCATGGGGTGAGAGAGGAAGGAAGGCAGAGAAAGAGGGAGAGGTACCAGGCTCTTTTCAACAACCTGTACTCTTGAACTCACTCCTGCAAGAAAAGGCACCAAGCTATTCACCGGGCATGCAGGTGGGGGGGCACCCTGATCACCCTCCCGCCGGCCCCCACCTCCAACTCTGGGGACCAGATGTCAACGTGAGACCTGGTGGCAAGCTCCTAGCAGGAGTCCCCAGGAATGGTTGAGTCATAGTAAAGAAACAGTTGAGTTCTAAAGTCACGTTCATGTAGACAGGAAGCTGTGGGAGGGTGAGGGGATGTAGTCTCTCATTTTAACGTGTGTTTTGTAAACACACTATTTTCTAAAGAATAGTATGGCCGCATTAATTAGTGTCACCCCATTAATTTTTACTTACTGTCTATGATCTTGACTTTGAACCACTCATTCTCTTAATGTTGAGAAGTTTCACTGTAGGATGTCAGCCAGCATGTTAAGCTTTGGGTGTGTACCCCAGTGAGGTTTTTTTTTTTTTTTTTTTTTTTTTTTTTGAGACAGAGTCTCACTGTGTTGCCCAGGCTAGAGTGAGTGCCGTGGCGTCAGCCTAGCTCACAGCAACCTCCAACTCCTGGGCTC